AAAGAATTAACTCACTAGTACTGAGTTAAAGGGTTAACCCACAAGTACTGAGCTAAAGAATTAACTCACTAGTACTGAGTTAAAGGGTTAACCCACAAGTACTGAGCTAAAGGTTTAACCCAGTAGTAATTACTAGTACTGAGTTAAAAGGATAACCCACTAGTAAACACTACTTTACTGTGCTGCCAAGGTCCAGATGTCTAACTGCACCATTACATTCTATTGATCATTAGAGGCCGCAAGGCTGGAGTCAGCTTCGTATTCTATTCTGTTGAACTTGTCTAATTAAGCCAAAAAATTCAATTTACTAAAAAAAAAGTTGAAAACTAGAGCTAAGAAAGAGTTAACCCTACCTCCCAGCACTGTACCGTTTCATTTTCTGTAAGTTGAATAACACAGTGGATAACTATGAACAATATATATTTTTATACGTGCGCATAGTATGTTTATACATATGCACATATTATCAGATATTTTAGCGAGCCGACTGTTACTTAGCTATGCTTTTTAATAATGAAAACAGAAATCATATTTAAAATATGTAAGATCGAGTCAGAAGTGCAGAATTTTGTCCCTAGGTTTACTCATGTAAAGAATATGTTTGTTTTCTTTTGAAAGAATGTTGTTCTTCTGTTTGATTTCCCCATAAACAGACGGGGTGAGTATTAGGTCCGCTAGATTTTTTTTTGTCCCTCTTGTGGAAACACGCCGTCAGTATTGAAGAGCTCCACCTTGCATGGAAGTCTGCTTAAGGCTAAGCGCCGAATAGCTAAGTTAGGCCCTAAACTTTATTTCTGCGAGTTAGACTAAAGACAGAAAGGATTGGAAAGTGAATTTGTCTTCGTATGTGTGTATACATTTATTTAAAACTTTTTCTCCCTTTTCTTAAGAAGGTGTTAATGACGATGAAAAGAATGTTGTAACGTTTTAAGTACTCTTTATAATGTCTCATTGCAATTTCTTCGGAAGCGACAGACTTGTTGGTGAAATAAAAAGGCCGGAAATGACGAAGTTTTATGTGACGGCAGCTGGAAGGTTTCGTATTGTTGATAACGCTGTGACACAACTGAGTTGATGCGAAAAACTTACCGATAGGGGGTAATCGTTAAACAAATACATTGGCCAACATGAGATAAGTCAACGAAATTGATCTTAATTCCAAGTTTAAAACGAACTAAAATTGGGCAGGTGTTGAAATGGTTTACACTTTTGTGTTTGGTTCACATTGAAGAGAAAAATAATTGACCTAATAAGTAGAAATTTAAAATTTCTAATAAACTTAATAAATAAAACTACATGTTACATTTAATAATATACGTGGTTGCAAAATTTAAGGAAGTAAATGAAAATGCACTATACAGACCTAATAAACTACTAGAACCGTTTCAGCTTTATTTTCATTATGTCGGGGGTAGTTGATTTACCACCTTTTATCCCTAGATTTAATTTGTAAATGACCTTGGATCCTTCGGTTCAGAATTATTTTCTATATTTATTTATTGTGATGTTTACTATATTTGTGAAATAATTCAAGTTTTACAGCAACAATTAAACTTGCAAACGTTTGAAAAAGAAGCTTATAGTTTTTATTTTCTAAACAAATATATATGTATACTGGACGTAGTGCATTAAACCATAAATGTAAAAACAGCCTGTCTGATTTAATTATACTTTATTATCATTTGAAGAAAAGTGAGACATGCTGATTTAAAAAAATATATATATGAAATTAAGTATTTTAAAAAGGTATAAAAAAACCACCATTACACTTCGAAAGTAACCTTAATGGTTCTCGATTTTTTACACCAATTCTGGTGTATTCAAGGGACGCTAAGCCTCTGTAAGTGTAACACGTTTTGTGAAGGGGGGATGTGTTTGCAACCATGAATTCAAAAAATGTTATAGTTAAAACAAAAGATGAAAAAGTAACTGTTAAGCCTCCAGTCGTTACTTAATTTTCCGTAAATTCGTTCCGACGAAACTTTAGCGACACGAG